GTGTCACTGTGTCACATTGTCACCGTGTCACACTGTCACCGTGTCACACTGTCACCGTGTCACCGTGTCACCGTGTCACCGTGTCACCGTGTCACACTGTCACCATGGCACCCTGTCACACTGTCCCTGTGTCACCCTGTCCCTAACATCCCCCACATCCAGCGCGCATAGCCATGGCTGAGGGCTAAGGACTGTCACTGTGTCACATTGTCACACTGTCACCGTGTCACCATGTCACTGTGTCACCATGTCACTGTGTCCCTGTGTGACACTGTCACTGTGTCACCATGGCACCCTGTCACACTGTCCCTGTGTCACCCTGTCCCCAACATCCCCCTCATCCAGCGCGCGTAGCCGTGGCTGAGGGCTAAGGACTGTCACCGTGTCACCGTGTCACACTGTCACTGTGTCACCATGTCACTGTGTCACACTGTCACTGTGTCACCGTGTCACATTGTCACTGTGTCCCCGTGTCACCACATCACCCTGTCCCCCACATCCAGCACACCAAGCATGGCTGTCACCCTCTCCTTTCTGTCACCTTCACCGTGCTGTCACTGTCCCCAGCCCAGGGGACACCCCAAACCCCCGCAGGGACCCCCAGAATTCCTGCAGGATACAGCACGATGCCGGCCAGCAGCCATAGTCGTGACACCGGTGCCACCTTCACCGTGCAACCAGTGCCACCCTCACCGTGCTGTCACTGTCCCCAGCCCCGGGGACCCCCCCAATTCCCACAGGGACCCCCCAAACCCCCGCGGGGACCCCAGAATTCCCCAAGGATACAGCACGATGCCGGCCAGCAGCCATAGTCGTGACACCGGTGCCACCTTTACCGTGCAACCAGTGCCACCCTCGCCGTGCTGTCACTGTCCCCAGCCCCGGGGACCCCCCAGTTCCCACAGGGACCCCCCAAACCCCCGCGGGGACCCCGGAATTCCCCAAGGATACAGCACGATGCCGGCCAGCAGCCAGTAGTCGTGGCGCCGGTGCCAGATCTCGTTGAGCTTTCCCGAGGAGATGGCGGCGCGCTCCTCGTTCTGCCACAGCGTGTGCAGCTCTGCGGAGGCCGCGGGGTCAGGGCCACCTCCGTGTCCCCTGGTGTCCCCGCAGTTCCCTCAGTGTCCCCTCAGTGTCCCCGCAGTTCCCTCAGTGTCCCCTCAGTGTCGCCTCTGCACCCCGCTGTCCCCTCAAGTGTCCCCTCAAGTGTCCCCACTGTCCCTTGGGTGTCCCTGGGTGTCTCTCAGTGTCCCCAGTGTCCCCTCACTGTCCCCAGTGTCCCCTCAGTGTCCCCAGTGACCCTGGGTGTCCTCAGTGTCCCCTCAGTGTCCCCAGTGTTCCCCCATGTCCCCACTGTCCCTTGGGTGTCCCTGGGTGTCTCTCAGTGTCCCCAGTGTCCCCTCACTGTCCCCAGTGACCCTGGGTGTCTTCAGTGTCCCCTCAGTGTCCCCAGTGTCCCTGGGTGTCTTCAGTGTCCCCTCAGTGTGCCCAGTGTCCCCCCATGTCCCCACTGTCCCTTGGGTGTTCCCTGGTGTCCCTGGGTGTCTCTCAGTGTCCTCTGCTGTCCCTCAGTGTCCCCACTGTCCCCTGGGTGTCTCTCAGTGTCCCCAGTGTCCTTACTGTCCTCTCAGTATCCCCACTGTCCCCTCAGTGTCCC